GCGCTGACTCAGCGTTTTTACCACGGACTACAGGACACTACTCGGCGCTGGTGTACTCTAAACACGGAACTGACTACCAGACCACCCCAACCAAACCCGAAGACCTGAATTTCGGGTTGGGGGGGTATGGGCTCCATATGTGTTTCTCGACGTTCCCGGACCCCCCCCCCACACTGGAAATGGAGGGCAAATTGATGCCTTCGGGTTGGGTTGGGGTGGTTTGGTGGGCGGTGAAAACCCGGAACTGCGAGGTCATATCAGTTTCCCCCAAGTTGCTGCCGACTTGCGCTGCACCGTTGCCGCTCCCCGCCGTGCCCCCGCGCGTGCGTCGCGCGTGGGGGGCCCGATCCGTGGGCGCACGCGGCGTGGGGATCACCTCCGCGCGCGCCTCCCAAGAGGCCCGCTCTGCAGTCGAGCTCGACTGGAGAGGACACGCGAGAGGACACGAGACCCTTCCAAGGGCCACGATGCCGCAGGAGTGTAAGAAGGCACGCGTCGCGAGGCACAGGACACGAGGGCAGCCTTGATCTGGCAGGGTCGACCTACTAATCAGGGCCGACTGCGCTGTGATTGGTAGGGGGATATGACTGCTGGGAATGGGAGCACCCGAAAAACTGGGCAGAGTTGGACGCCCGAAATTGGCACGGAAAACATGGGCACAGTGCCCAACAACTGAGGTTGCTCCAAACCCACAGCGGGCGCTGCTGGGCAGGCGGCCCTTCTGCCTCGAATGGATACCGGCCGCGGTGGCGCGGACAACGAGTCCTGCCGAAAAGGAACAGGAACTGAAGCTGGGCATTGTGCCCATCCTTTCCGTACCCACTTCGTTCGTGCAGAGTCAGACGCAGCTCTCCTGCTGGCCCACCCCGAGCCCAGCCCGAACGCCGCGCGGTGGCGAAGACGCGCGGGTGTCCCGGCCTCGGCTCGGCCTCGGTGCCCCCCGCTCTGCCCAGGCGGGCCGGGGTGCGCGCCTCGATCACCGTTTGCGTCGAAGCGAGCGGCCAGAGGAGAGCAGCGGGCAGGCCAAGCTGAAAGCCCCTGCAACGCTGCAGTGCAAGGTCGCAGGCTCTCCTTGCAGCCCTCCACTGCAAGGCTGCAGGCTCGCCCCGTTCCGCCTCACACGGCAGTAGAGTGAGAGAGAGAGAGAGAAGAGAGAGAAAGGGAGAGAGAGAGAGAGAACAAACAAACAAAAAACAAAAAAAAAAAACGAGAGAGAGAGAGAGAGAACAAAAAAAAGGAGGCGGGACAGAGAGAGAGGGAAAATAGGTTCAAAAACAGAAACACGGACTGGCAGACACTCATACATGCGGACAGACACGCAGACATTCAGAAAGAGAGAAAAAGACAGAGAGAGGGAAGGAAAGCTAGATTGAGAAAGGGAGAAAACGAAAGAGGGGGTGGGAGAAAGGGAGGAGGAGGAGGAACAGGAAGAGAAGGAAAGTGATAACTAGCAGGAAACAGGAGGGGCAAGAGAGGAGGCAAGCGCGCGCTTGCGTTCCGCATCTGTCGCAGCGGCAGTAGATGCGCCTCCACTGCTGCCACGGCGCACCCGGTTTGCTGCAGGTATGGTGTGTCATTGCCTTGGTAAAAATCGCCTGGGCCCATGTAAATAGCAGAATGCGCCTCTGCATCTGGCAGACAACAAAGGCGGTCGTCATGCTGCCAGGGGGGGCTGATGCCGTCGGATGCTGTCACTACACTGCCAGTGGAACTGCCGCTGCGGCTGCGGCGGCGTTGGGCCAGCAAATAATGCCATTGCGAAGTCACCAGTGCCCATCGACCTCCCATAACGCACGGCAGCGGTCACTGCGGCCGCGCCATCGCCGCTCGACAAAGCCGCCACTTCGGCCACTGCGGCGTGGGTGTCGAGTTCATACCACACGTTTCTACTGCAACCAGTCCTAAGCCAGCTGTGATGCGATCAGGCAGCTCGAGCTCAAGATTCATATCAGCTCGGTCAGGACTCGGATGCCAGGGGCGACTTGGACCACAACACTATAGAGCACAACGCACGTCTTTGCGGCATGACACATCTCGTTTCCGCGCGGCACAGCACGGTACATCACGATCGATATGGGCAGCATTGCAATTGGCTGTCGCCCAATCAGATACCTTGAAAACGTAGCCATGCCTCGCGTTTGTAAATTCCGTTCCGGGTTTGTGGGTCGATCATGTTTGATGTTGTCGGGACATATTCGTGTACACGGTTGCTCCTAAATTCTTTTCGCAACCAAGTCTCAGCTCGGATGTCTGAGTGCATTGCGTTCGCGAGAAAGTGCATGGACCCTCACGGTGTCCCCACGTGAGATCCTGCGCGCGTCTAGGTATATATGCGTTGCGCGCCGATCGATATTTTAAATCTGAATGCAACGGATAAAAGATCGGATGATGCTCACCACCATGCGGCGGCGAGCCCAGGGGTCAAAGGCCCCCAGCCTTCCGAGGAGCCATCTAAGCTTTCCCCGAAGACACAGACGGCTTATCAAAAGCGCAAGGGCTCCTGAGAAGCCCCGTCGCCTTCTGAGCAGACCTCCCCCCTGGGCTCCAGAGTAGCAGGAGGTGCAGGACCGGGGGAGGGCCCCAGGCTGACCACCCGCGCGGGCGGCCGAGCGCGCGGCTCAGCGGCAGAGACCGAGGCCTCTCTCTTCCACCGCCTCCTCCTCCTCTTCCTCCTCCTCCTCCTCCTCCTCCTCCTCCTCGTCCCTCCTCGCACGTGGCCGCGCGCCAGCCCCGTCCATCGGCCCGAGCCCGCGCGCGGTAGCTGTACCCTCGCGAGGGGCATCGAAGAGTTAGCGGCCGAAACAAGGGGATAGGGCGGAGATCCAATAACAACATGTGAGCACACGCGGGGACGGACAGGGAGTCGCAGGTGGGAAGAAAGATACCAAGGCGGCAGATGGGACACGAATGGACGTCGCCGGAGAGAGCCGGCTGCAACAGAGCGAGGAAAAGAGGGCACCCCAAGCAGTGCTGAAAAATCAGAGGCTAGACAGCCTAGCAGACACATTAATCTAAGGTTGTCATGGAACCTCCGCGAGGTTATCCAACTGCCAGAACGGGTCTTCCACACTCCATTGGCGAGAGGACCACGCATCTTATGAACGAGCGACTGGACCTCTTCCCATTCCACAAAGTCCAAGACCCAGGCGGACTCAGGAAACCACGAAGCAAGACGGCGGCCGAAGGTAGCACCCAGGTCGTCGGGGAAGAGTTCACGCTGGAAAACACGGACAAGATGGGCCTGCAACTGCATTCGTTTAGGAGGTCGAGGGCTCTCAATAGCGGCAGCGAGAAGCCCCATGGGCGACATCCTGAGCGATCGATCCAGCCCGAGCGAGAGAGCTCCAAGAAGGATAGCCAACAGCAGCCTGACCGAAATACTCAACAAAGGCAGGGCTGACCCAGAAGGCGGGGGAAGATCGGCCAGCACAAAGATTCACAATCGGGAGGTGCTCTGCCGCAACTTCTATGAGGTCATCTAAAACCGAGGCGTCTTCTGGAAACGTATGGATGGCGGCTCGCATCAAACAAGCCGCGCTCATTGCCTGGATGCTGGTCAGCCGGGATCCTCCCCATTGTCCGTTATTGAACCAACCAGCGCGCGAAATCGCACAATGCGGGACGTTGAAGAGAGACGCGAAGGTCGAGTGCTCGACGCGAGCGGTTAGAGCAGACAGAGCGGGGGAGGCGTCAGGGAGAGGAGAAAATTGGGCAACGTAGGACAACGTGGACAAAGGACGGCTAGTGTAGAGATACTCAGCGATGGTGGGCGGAGAGCCGACTGTTGAAATCATCGCACTACGGGGGGGGGCATTTGATAAGCGGTTTGTCCCAGCTATCTGTGCTGACAGCTGGCCCAAGCATCAGACCGAGATATTTCAACGAAGCCACGATCGGGAAACAACCCCCGTCGGGGAGATGATTCCGAAGCCCCATCCAGCACTTGGCAACGAGGGACCGGGAGAAGTTCCCCGCCAGAGGGAGTAAAAGGCATATGGTTCGCTTCAACTTGAGACAGGCAAGGGCCTCACTGCAGTCAAACACGGTTTTCAGATGATGTAGTTCACGAATCGAGGAGACCACCGCCCCGACGTCGTCCGCACATGCTCTCGCCAAACCCAAGCATCGTTGCTCGATGACGGCCTGCACTCGACAATGTATCGCAAACGGAGGCGCGTCGGCACGTTGCTCAAGGCGGCGACGCATACCGACCAGGAAAGGGTGACTGCCAATGGCAAACAGCGCACCTGAGCCAGGGCTGCACTGGATGATGCCAGCAAAGATGTCGAAGACATACTCACATACCCGTCCACACGTGGCGCAGCATCGAACGTTCGAGCAAAGATGTTCCACAAAGATCAGCAGCGGCGCGGGGACCCTGAACGCAGCGAGGGCCATGAGGACCCATGCACGTGCCACCAATGGGAAGGCTTGGCCATAATCGAAGGAGAGTAATGCTGGGAGCCGATGGGCTGCATCAGGTAACATAGACAACATACGACTGCGAGCATCCAGTTCTAAAATATTGACTCCAAAGTTACGACCTTGAACGAACCCGCGCTGAGAGAAACAAACACATGTTTTGAGCAGTTTGCTGATACCTTCAAACACAGTACCAGTAATGATCTTGTTGGAGGAAAAAAAACTGTTGAATACATATAGCTGCGTTGGTCAGGTTCCTGGTAACTAAATTAGGTCCTCCTCCTCCTCCTCCTCCTCACCATTGGCAAAAATACACCGCGTACGCCTGTCCTCCGCCTCCTCCTCCTCCTCGCTCCCTCCTCCTCCTCCTCCCGCTCCTCCGCCCTCCTCCGCCTCCTCCTCCTCCTCCTCCCCTCACCGCCTCATCCTCCTCCTCCTGCACTCCTCCTCCTCCTCCCTCCTCCTCCTCCCTCGCTCTCGCTCCTCCTCGCCCCCTCCCCCCCCGGGGCGCGCCCGCCGCACGCCCCCTCCCCCCCGTGCCCACCCCGCTCAGCCCAGCTGCCCCGCAGGGGCGGGTCCTCCTCCTCCTCCTCGCTGCCCGAGTCGCCCGTGAACGCGCTGCTGGCCTGCGCGCCCCGACCGCCCAAAGGGGAGCCACGGGCTGCCGCGGCATCGGTCCTCCTCCCCCGCCCTCGTCCCCCGCCCCCGCCCCCGCAGACCCTCCGCCCGATGGCCCCCCGCATCCTCCTCGGGATGGCAGCGGAGCCTCGACGGCGGGGCCCGTCGCGGAACGCGGGAGGAGTGCCTGCCGTCACTGCTGCCCCCGCTGTCCCCTCCCGGCCCGCGCACACCGCCGTCGCCTCTCCCCCAGTCCTCCTGATCCGCCAGAAGCGCTTACATCGGTTGGAGTGTGTCGGGTCATGCCGCTTTCGTGCGAAGCAATACTCAGGGCCCGCCTCCCGACGCGCCGAGCACAAGATGCGCTCGGTTGTGTGACCAAGTCCCTGTGCTGTTTGGCCTTCTGGGCAGAGCATGGCCCCACCTACACAATCTGGGGAGGGGGTGTCCGCGGCCCCTCACCCCCCCTCCCCCCCCCAAGGCCCACCCACCCCCCACGGGCGCCCGAGCGCGGTGGCGGAGTCGCGTGGCAGCGAAATTGGGTGCACAGCTGCTCCAAATTAACAACCCCCTGTCGCACCACCAGACGCGCCGCTGGGGCAGGCCAGGCGTTTCCCAACAGCTGGACGGATGGAGGGCGACTCATCTGCAGGACGGGGCTCTCGCCTGGGCACCGCGCAGACCCGCGTTGAAAAGAAACGCATCCGCTAGTGAAGGGCGAGTAACTTTCAGAAACGGAGCTCTCGCTCTGGCACCGCGCACACTCGTCTCGCACAAGACAGCATATACAAGAATGGTGGCTGGGTCATTTTAAAAATGGGACCCTCGCCGCTTCGCCGCGCGCGCCCGTCTCAAAAAGAACACACTTATCCAGATGGAAGGCGGCGCCCGTTCCATGAAGGGGCCCAAGGACACACAAATAAATACACACAAACAAAAGGATTCCCCATAGCTTCGCATATTTTTGGGGTTTTTGTCTTCCCCCCCACACTTCCCATATTTTCCCATATTTTCTTTGGAATCGACGATTAATTGTGTCTGTGTTTGTTTTCCCCCTCCTGATTCCAGATGGGGCTCACGCCTGAGACGCCCACAACATGCCATACCACCGGTGAAGGGAATGTCGAGAACTTGCACGGACCGAGGGCGGCTCGTTCTCGAGGTGGTGCTCTCGCTTACGAGCTCGTCACATGTGTGGTGGGCGGTCTAAGGCTGCGCGACCGCTAGACTGATGTAGGGCGGTTCCTTTTCACAGTGGGGCTGACGCTGGGAGAGTCATCAAACTGTCTGACTCCACAGTGTCGCATCCCTCACAGGTCGAAGCAAGGACTGGGATTTCTCAAAACGATGCTTCCCCTCCACCTGAAATCTGGGTCCATTAGGCGCTCTACGTTTACATGGGCTCTTGGCGTAGTGGAAGATCGCGCCGGGACGAATATCAAGGGGACTTTGGACGAGAGGATGATTTTCCGCAACGCTGATAAATGTTAGGCGTACTCTGTTCCTCCTCCTGCTCCACCTCCACCAGCACCTCCTCCCCCTCCTCCTCCTCCTCCTCCTCCGCCTCCTCCTCCTCCTCCTCCTCCTCCTCCTCCTCCTCCTCCTCCTCCTCGTCATCGTCCTCCTCCCCGCCTCCTCCTCCTCCTCCTCCTCCTCCTCCTCCTCCTCCTCCTCCTCCCCTTGCACTTCGTCC